TGGGGCTCCACCCCTTCTGCATGCTAATTGCTTCTAGTTGACAGTGCAGAATTACCGGCGGGTGCCTGATCTTTGCTCTCGGTGGGAACTCTCCTGCCTGGGTGTGCTGCACATCATGTAAGCAAATAGGGAAGCTGACGGTGGGAGATGCATTTCATCTAGACTTTAAACTCATTTCTGGCAGGCACAGCCCTTGAAGAACCACTGAAGGCTGGGATGTGGCCAACAAGTCTGCACAATTGCTAGCCCAACCCCTCCTTCACTCTGCCTCTAGAAATAATTCTCTCCCTTCCTTTACATGTATTTATTAAGCTCTGTCCTGAACTATGTGAAATCAGTGTGGAATTTGCCTGAGGTTCCTTTCTGCTGGCCCAGGGCTTCCCAGCAGTGTAAGCAAAATTAAAGGAGGTGTGGGGGTTGAGATGAATTCACTCCTGCTTATTGGAGAGGGCGAAAGAGAGGAGTCGGGGTGCTGCGCTCCCTGCCCTCAGCGCTGCAAGAGGGACGGGGAGCTGCTGAAATCCCTGGTTGTGGGCTTCCCACATTCCTGGCATTTACCGTGTTTTACAATCTCAGATAAATGTAACCTTTTTTAGGATTATTTGACATGTTCTTACGGTAATCTATTACCAGCAGATCACCGCCATGCTCATCACTACTCTCTAGGTCCAGAAGTTGTTCTTTCTTTTTTTTTTGGTATCCTTTGAAATTTTCTATTTCCAACAAGCCTACTGTTATCTCACTTTTGCTATTTTAAGTTCTGTGGCACAAAAAGGCTGACTCACAGAAAGCCGTGTTGTAGGAAATATTGGCTCTGCTGAGGAAATAATTCTCAGTTCATTCTTCCACTGTGTGCTTTGGGGTTTTTTTTCTGTCCCTCTTTTTTTTTTTTTTTTTTGTGTGTGTGTGTGTGTGTGTGTGTGTCTTTTGGTCTTATGTTATGGCACACATCTAGCACCGTGAAAGATTGAGAGCTATTTCTAATGCACTGGTCTACCCAGTGAAATGTCTTTTTCTGTATATACCCCGAAGTGTTTTATGTACCTGCTAGAAATGTTACACAGGATGCTCACACAGCTCATAAAATTTGGTCTCCTATTGGAAATGTTTTGTGGAAGTATGGTGCTTAATCTACTGCAGCCATTCACAGTTAATGTTGTCGCGGTGCTCATTGGAGGGGGTGAAGATTACAACCAGCTCAGGGAAGTTTGATATGTTATCAGAAGTCCTCAAGAATAAAACTGAAAGAAATGGATGTTCAATGAAATGTAGATAATTGACTAAAAAAGGGGAAATACGGGAGGCCCCAGCGAAGTCATCCCTCTGGCTGGACTTGCACTGCAGTCAGCTCCTTCTGATGAGTCCCTGCAATCACCCTTTCACAGCTAAGGGATCGTACAAAATGGAACCAGGGTGTGCTTTAATTGAGTGTTAAGCACATCAGTGATATGCAGCAAAAGACAAGGCTGGAGATCCAGGATGAAATCCTAGCCCAGCGGGGTGGGGAAAAAAAACCCCAACAACTGCAAAACCTCTATTGACTTCCAGGGCTTTAATCACTGGACCAAGTTGTCTAATAACATACTGCAGGGTGTGCTTTGGCACTACCATCTACTTCATTCATTTTACATTTAATATGTCAGAAAACAGTGCCTGACGTCTTGTAGATGTGCATACAGCATACATATCTACAGGAAATCAGCCGGTACCAATAATATAATAATAAGAAAAATTGGGGACTTTTGAATGTACCTACTGATATCTTTTTTCTAAACCTTTTTGACACTATTGTTAGCAAAACCTAATTAGAAGGTGGTTTTCAACAGTTGCTGTCCTCAGGACATAAAGTATAGTCCTCACATAAATGATATAATCATATTTAAAATACTTTATAAACACTAATTTACCCTCCCAATTTTCTTGTGAGATAGATAATTATGTGTTAACAATAATATCATCATCATTAGTTGCTGTGTTAGTCCTCTTTTTTTTTTTATAGATGGAAGCTCAGGCCCTGATAATAAACAGCTTGCTGAAGGCCACATGAGGAGTCTTTCAGGCCTCTGATTAGAGAGCAAACAGTCCTGGCTCTGTCCTCCGCTCCCATAAAGAACCAGAACAATGTAGGTAATAATGAAAGAAAAGCAGGGCTTTAAGTATGGGCAAGAAAAAGAAATCCTTTTCAAGTTGGCTGGATTCCTGGGCTGCCAGGAAATATTAAAATAGTATGTGACAGAGATAAAGGTAAATATCTAACAAATACTATACCTTTTGTACTTTTGCCTTTATTTAATCTGCAGTAATTATACGGAGTAATGTAGATTATATTATGAATCACGATGATACTTACAATACTGAATTTTTGCAATCACATCCTGACCCTGTGAGATAATCCGCTTTGATCTCATACAAGAGCCAGATATGTCTTGCTTGAAACTTCAGAGGTGTGTGATAGCAGCTGGTACACACCCTTTTTCGTAATCTTGTTAAAATAAAACAAGTTTGGATTTGCTTAGCCATTGTAGGATGTAACATCAGAGTTACAACCCTGCTGCAAAGGGAGCTTGCCATAACTGTGGAGTTAACAGGGGCCTCTTCAGTATTTCTCTTTGAGAAGTAACTTTTTTTTTTTCCATTTTAAGAAATGTGGATATTTACATATCCAACTAAAAAAAAAAAAAGAAAGAAAAAAGAAAAGTTAAAACAATCCTTAGAGAGCGATTAAAGCCAAAACATAAATTTGTTCCCATGCCTGTAACTCAGCTCGCTGTGTCTAAACTAATTACTACAGGAACTCCGAGGCAGTCTGGTCTTGCATTGCCGGGTGTGCTCACAGAGAGGTTGTTTAACAACAGCCTGCCTGCTGTCATGGTATCCACTGTCAGAGCATCCCCTCTCAAGGAAACACCCCCAGTCCACATCGAAACTGCAGCTCTGCACCTGCGATAACTAAAGCCGCTGGGGTCAGTCCGTGCTGCTTTCCGGAGTCGGGTCTGTATCAGCATCTTTCCGTGCTGTTCGCTCGTTTTTCTCCTCCACAATTGTGCCAAATATCCACAAATCCTCCTGGGGCCAGATTCTGGGTAGCAAGAGATGACGTTCAGGGCTTTCAACACGATGCTGATCGCGCTGGCTGGTGGCCCCGGGACAGCTTTCACTTTGTCCTCCCTCTTGTGCCAGGAACCGCGCTGGGAGCCCAGGGGGACAGTGGCGTCCTCTGCCCACAATGGCAGCCCTCTGCGGGCAGGGAGGCCCTGGGACTGCAGCAACAAACCCATTGTTTTGCCTCTCCAAAAATTAAATGGAAATGTGCCTCGGTGGGAGCAGCCATTCTCCTGCAGGAAGACAAGGTGCAGGAGCCCTCGCTTGAAGGGGGCTGAAGCAGCTGGCACCTCTCCTCCTCTGTTTCTCTCACTTTTCCTTTAAAAATATGTTCCTCTGGCACTGATCTGAAAGCTCTCCTTGGTGTGACACATTCAGAGACACATTTGTATTCCTCTTAAAGCCTTTAGGGTATGCTGGGCCTCTGGGCAGGAGGTCAGCAGCAATAAAACAATAAGGCCAATGGCTTTATTTGGTAAATATCGCAGTCCAGCAGCAGCAGTTCTTAGCTTTGTCATCTGTGGGCCATGCTATTATTTGGGGGCCCGCTGGTAGCTTTTAAAAATAGAAGCATGAAACTGCACCCATGCAGAAGAGCCGGGACGAGCAGCCCGCTCCCCACTGAAGGTAGGTCTGTATACCAGGGAGGTGCTAACTGGTTCACGTGTTTTACCACCACCGATTTACAGCAGTGCTAAACGTGCTCTAAGCGGCGGTAACTCGTGTCCTGAAATTTCTGAAAGAGCCACTTCATGGCTTTGGATCACACAGTTCATCAGCTCTCTATGAATGAGGGACTATTCACCTGGTCACGCAGTTCCTCTGCTCTTGCTGTTTATTCTGGGAAGCAGAAGCCTCCAAGATCGATCTGGGTAAGTGTATCAATGAGATGATTGTTTTGGGATTGAATCCTCTCTGCCTTATGGAGATCTACAATGTATTTGTCCATGTATACTTTAAAGCAACTGATAAAAATAAGTAGTAGTGCTACAAGCATGTTAATCAGCAGTGTTAGACATTTTTTTATCACATGTCCATTGATCAATTACCGATGAATTTTCTTCAGTGTCCACTGATCAATTTACTGAGGAAGGTAGTGGCAGAAGGTGCTCCCTGCTCAGAACCAAGTCCTTTCCCAGCATGTCCTCTCCTGCAAACAGTCGCTGTCAGCACTGCAGAGAGAATAAAGCTAATCCCTTCAAACTGGTGAACTTCCATTTCCTTTCTTGGTATGCACAAGACAAAGACAAATAATTTAGAGGTTATTTTGTTTAAGTAGATATCTTCCTCATATTAAGGGAAAGTAAATCTTAGAGTATGGAAGGCCACTGGCCCTAACTGTTCAGTGCTCCAGATTCAGAGCTGGAAGTCATGGGGAAGTTGCTAGAGTGTGAGTGTACCTATCTCTACTCTTTATTACAGGATTATTAAGACTAAGGGTGCCTTTGTGGTTTACATTAATCCATTTTGGGACTCAAAACTGAAAAAAGCATCTTTTGTGGGGAATCGGACTGTTGGTGCAGGGAGCCTGACTCCAGCCCCCTGGAGCCAGGGTGCTTCCCTGGAGCCAGGGTGCTCCCCTGGTGGGAGCCTACCGGTTCTTCTGTTTAAGTCAACAGGGTTTAAGTCCCGCTTGTTTAAATATCAGGTTTAACTGGGGCTTGCCTGCATATCAAAGGCAGTATGGTAATTTTTACGAGGGAAAGGGTTGGCCCTGGTGTTGGCCAGACTTGTCCCTGCTCCCCCTGTTGCACAACGCGGTGCTGAGTCACTGCCATTTCTCACTCAGTGAGTGCTCGAGTCTTCTTGGTGCTGTGTTTGTATAGGATGGGGTCCCATCACATGTGCTGTAACTGGGGGAGCCTTTGCATAAGCAAGAGCTAAAAATGAACAAAGAGTTTTCCTAGTTTGCTGGCATTTTATTTACACGCTGCCATGTGTGGCAAGTTTCGTTCCGGCTCTTCGACTGCGAGGTGGACCAGGCTTGAACTTGCTTTTCTGAAGCCAGTCATCTAATTCCTCCTGATGTACTACTGGTATCTCACTGGGCCTTCAGTCTCGCCCCGATCTGCAAAAGATTTATGGATAGATATTATATAGATTTAACACAATACCATGGCTTTTATTATTTGCTGGAAAATGTTAATAAAAAACAAGTATTACACATGCATTTTAATCCCTGAAGTGATTTTTGAGTAGAATGCATGAATTATTAATTGTTGTTATTGTTATTATTGCAGTGCATACCTATCTCACAGGACATTGTGAGGATTAATTAATTCTTGTAAAGATGTAAAAGGCCATATAGGTGTCAAGGGTTATGACTAAAGTGCTTTGAAAATGGAAACCACTCTGTGAGTGCCAAGTATTATTATTTATGGAGTCCGGGCAGTGTGCTTGGTACTGTGCAAACACTGGACCAGTTATTGCAAATATTTGCTTATATGTGCTTAGTAGGCCAAGCACTCGTTGTTACAAGTAATTTCAACTATTTTAAGGATGTGTCTTACAAATATGGCCATGAGAAGACTTTCCAGTAGTTGGGATGGCAAAGCCACAGAACATCTGCACTCTGAAGGCACGCTTTTATTCAAACACATGGATGAACCAAGACCTGGTCCAGGTCTAGATCCAAAAGCTTTGTCCCATCTTTCTCACTACTAGGAGACTTAACAACAGTTATTGTTTCAAAGGAAACATAACAACGGTTATTGTTTAAAAGTGCCTCTCCCGGCCCAAGGCAAAGCCAACTCTCTAAGCTCAGCTCACTCGCTGAACAACCTGCCGTAAACCATAACCTGCTCAACTGCCCTGTGTTACCCAACATCTGTTCTTGGAAACCTCTGAAAGAGAGAACCTCCCTCCCATATGCTCTGGAAGTGGCCGTGGTAACTGAGCCCAGCTGCGTATTTGGGCAACAGAACTACAAAGTCTAAAGCTCATCACGGAAAGTGAGGCCTTTGTGCAGTTCCGTGGGGTGTTTGCCTTCATAAAGGGAAACCAGAACAAAATGGATGGGGTAGAATTATTACAGCATAAATCTGCCAGAATGCAGTGGGTAGATTTAGCAGAGCAGAACGTATACTTGGGTAATCACCCAGTCGCGTACATCACGATGTTAAAAAGGAGAGCCTGGCACCCCGGAGTCCCGATTGCACATTTGGAGAACATGAGACCACGAAAACCTTCAGCCAGATTACTTCAGTTCAGCACGTTGTCGCTGCTCAGCAGATGGATGGGAAGACGGTGTTTGTAGTTCCTGTGGGCCAAATAACGCACACTCGAGGGGTTTCCCCTCCTCCGTTTCTCACACAAGCTTTCTGAACGTTACACCTCCCCTTCCTATTTCATGGATTTTGCACAGCTCCTCCCATACCCTTCGTCAGGCCCCTGGTGTCCCACAGTCCCCTGCAAGAGGTCCCTTATCTTCTTTCCTCTTGCCTTTGGCTACGTACATACTCCTGTTCCCCCTTCCTCCACCCACTGTTATTGCTTATCTTCTTTTACCAGGGAAATAAATCATTCAGAGTATCCAGAGGTTCAACTCCTTTAGAAGCATGGACAGGTCTGAAATGATAATGCAGGAAGGTGTTAATGAGTCCCTTGCGCCCTTTAAATTTCCCAACTTTCACCAAAGTGGTCACATTTCAGAGTTGGACCTGATACAGTCTTCAAAAATTATTGCCTCTTTACATACCTAAAGCAGACCACCTACGCATCATTACTGGGAAGAGAAAGTTGCCCACCTGGGCCATTGAAATCACTGCAGGAATAAACGTTGAACATAAGTGGTTTGCAATTACAAATATGCTCCCTGGCTTTGGTTTCCTCATATAACCCAGGCCTCTTCAAGCAAATGGATTGAAGGCCCAGGGCTTTCTCAGAATTAAATAATTTTGCAATGCAAAAAAATCTATTTTCTCTGAGTACTTAATTTTTATTCTTCATAAAAGAAGGAAAAGTGCACGGGCCTGGTCCTGAAAAAAATGAGCACTGTGAGATGATCCTACATGCAGAGACCCACCCACCTGCTTTCATCCAGGCTTTATGGAGTCGAGGGGTCCCATCTGCTTGCAAGATGAAGCTTGGGCAGGTGAAACCTGCTGTGTCCCAGTCGTTAGGCTGAAAGTAAAATCCACCCTTAAGTCCGGAACGGCTGCCTTAAGGCCTAGTTATTTCTCCAGCAATGCCAAGTTCTGTTCACAAAAAAAAAAAAAAAAAAGGTGGCCCATCTCCTGTTTTGCCAGCTGCAGTAGAAGCAGTTCTGCAGAAGCACGGTGATGTGGAGGCCCCAGTCGGGCAGCACCAGACGTGGGCCGGGGCGCGTGGCGAGCCTTTGGCCCAAGGAGGAACGGCCTCTGGTGTTGCCATCAGATCTGAGCATGGTTTGTGGTCACTGGGACTCGGCGTGAGTGCCAGTGTCCGGACATGAGAGTGCTGGACCAACGCCCAAGAGCGTGAAACGCTATTGCACAAACATTTTAAGATGGAAAGGACTGCCTAGTGATGGCTGTGGTTTCGATTAACATAGCTCGCTTTAGAATATAAACCAACCTGCGATACGATAAATGGGATTTCAGTTCTAAAAATGGACAGCACCCAGGTAGGACACTGCATTATTAGTGTAGAGGCTGCACTTCATTAAATAAAATTACAGGGCGGACGCAGTAACGGGCCCGGGTGCAGGCGTCAAGCCACACCGAGCCCCGCACGGCGCGGGGCAGGATCCCCAGCGCCAGGTGCCATTGCCAACCGCGATGCGCTACCAAAAAACCCCCAAGTAAGAACACCACGTTAAACCCTGCGTTTACATAAGCGCTTCTGGCAGTGGAGTGCAATTCATGGCTTTCCTAGAAAAACTTCCAGGCCCCGCCACGCCGCCCGGCTGCCTGCGGGGCTCCCC